TTATGATGTTGCGTGCAGTGCCCTACATGGTGTTTCCAACGAATCATTCAAGCAATTCCAGCTTGTTGTCATGTGTGAAGTCATTCCGGAGACATGGTTGGCGAGAGTCCGAAGGCTTCTAGCTTAAAGCTGTGCCTTCGCATGCCCCTTGTTTCCGTCCTGGTTGAGTCGCTGCAAACCAGATGCAAAAAGGTGTTGGAATGGGTGAAGCAGATGGTACATGGATTGCTCCTTGAATCGAGGTCTGAGCTGCGTTGGCCACGACTGCGGCTTGGATTCCGTTGGCGCATCGCTGAGTCATGTGAGGCTAACTGACCATGGCGATGCCCCCGTCGAGGTATCGCCACAGATCTGCCCCAGGCGAAGTGCCGAATTCATCATTAGCCTAGCAGCAGTGTCTGCAAACCCGAAACCCTGAACCTTGTTTAGTTTGGAAGCTCGGGATTCGATCGACTGGTTTCACTTCGGAGCCCAATGTAGGAACCGAATGTCCCTATGTGAGTCTAGGAAGAAAGACCAGACTTTGCAGGGACCCCGTGACGAACACTTGTATCTACCTTGGAGATCCTCTGATCACAGACTCTGCGATGGTTATTTTCTCACATGTTCTGCTCGCCTGGCTTGTCCGAGTTGTGAGAGCGTAAACCCTGAACCCTCGGGGATGTATGTCAGCGCCCTTGCATGCACTTTTTCCGACCAGAGGAGACACCTTGAGACTTCATCTGGCTTGCCCGAACCTGAGCGCCTAGACCCTCCGAGATGTGACAGGCCATACCCATGCTGACAGCGAATGCCAGCGCCAATGCAGCAGCGATCCAGCGAAGTGGGGGCCGACTGGCCCCTTGCACACATGCTGGCATCTGATTGTGACTAGTAATAAGTAATAACCATATTGCTGCTATTGTTGGGTGTTGTTATCATTTTTGCCTGCACCGTGATTGCAACTATTGTGGTCTGCAAAACCTCATTCTATGATTGTTTCACAGCATGCTGGCAAGATGCCCTGTGCTGAGTCTGAGGCTCAGCTGGTACCCTCACTTGCCTTTCCCTTGTTTTGAGGCTGTTCTTCCTCTTGACCTCGGCGACGTCAGCACAGTGCCAGACGTGGCAGCTTTGCTGCACCATGGCGAGATCACAGGCAGAACTTCATATTCCGGTTCAACAGTCAGCTAAGGTCAATCATTTCGATTTGGTCATTGCGTCGGATATTTGCTACGATCCTGTGCGCTGGTTGCAAGAAGCTGCGGAAGCCACGCCTGCAGCACCGGTTCCCACGTTGGCAGGTGTTATACACCCCGTTGCTGGCAACGCTGCGATCCCTGTCGTTTAGACACTTCCTTGTCGCAACCTGGCGCCGGTCAGTTTGCCTAAACAGTGCACTGCGAGAACAGGAACCAGGCTTTGCCTGCCACTGCCTTCGTTTCGGTAGCACATGTTGAGTGGCTTGCCGGCATGGTTCGTCATGGTGTAGCTGTCTTCTGCTGCGAGGCTTAAGCTTGTAGTCGTTGTGCAGCAACGAGACCAGATCACCAGCTCCAAAGGAGAACTTGGTGAGGTCTTCTGTTTCTCCGTTGTTCTGGAACCCTTGTGTACAGGTGCACAGCGTGATTCCGTGAGGATGCCATACTCCACAGCCCCTGTGGCACTGAGCTACCTTCTAGCCAGCCATAGTCTTCCATACGCCGGCACTGCACAAGGATGTCAGAATCCTTCCGAGTCGAGCCAAGTCGCTGCGGAGCAGCGCATTGGCCCGTCCTTCCACCGGCTCCAGGTCTTGAGTAGGAATGCCGCTGGATGTGCACATTACACTCCCAGAGGAAGTTCGGCTCTTGCCTGCGCAACTTGGCACCTGCAGGTTTTTTCAGGCTTTAGGCCTTGACCCATGATTCTGATCTACTATACTGAGCAAGTGATGGTTTGCTCGCCAAGGGCGGCAATATCGCAACTGCCTACACCATGGCCACGATGTCAGGACATCCGCAGCTCGGAGCACACTCGAGCTAATCTGAGGTGATTATTGAAATTGTTGCTTATTCTTATCAGTATACTATACAATACCCTACTGTACCAAACCATACCATCCTTACCATACATAGCATACTAGACCGTGCTAAACAGTACAAGACTACACTGCAGTGTGCACAAGATCTCGGAACTGCGGGGGCATAGAACTCGGATCCCGAGGTTTCCTCCACGAGGAGCCAGCGGCTGGAGACTCCCTGGTGGTGGTCTCACAGTCTTGGTCGCATCAGATGCATCCGGACCCCACGGGTGTGAAGGCTGGGAGCAATCAGGACAATCACTGCCAGTACTATCCACTGTACCATACTTCTGGTATACTGCAAGGTACTGTATTGTGCTCTGCTCTACTACATTATTTTCCTATAGTTACTCTAGTTACCAGCTTTGTGTCGCTTGACGCTGCAGTACAGTGCCAGGCTGCTGCCATCATCGGGCTTCTGAAAAAAGTTGTGAACTCGTCGGCACAGAAGGGCGCGTTGTGTTATCATGGTCTGCTTCTCTCGCTCTTTCTATGACCCAAACCCTGAACCGTTTAGTAGACATGCTTTTTTAGAATTTAAAGCCTGAAAGCCCGGATTTGACGTGAAGCCTTGCCTGCGTTGTGCGAGTGATGAGAGTCGGAAGCCCCTGACACCCTAAAGCCATAAGCACTTAGAGCCCTGAAAGCCCAAACACAAGACCTGAAAGCCCTTAATTAAACCGTATAAGCGCCCGGAAAGCCTAAAACCTCCCACGCATTCGCAATCCCTAAGCCCTTTCGGCATCACTTCATAGCTCCAAGTTGTTGCCTTGTTGCCGCGAATTGGATTATCAGGAGCCCTGCCTGCCTAACCCCCAAACCCCTTGCGCGAGTGTGCGAGTCCAAACCCCCCGTACCCCGAACCCTAAACCCCGAGCCTGCTGCGTGCAAGAGTGAGAGTCGAAACCCCTAGCTTGTCCGAGTGTGAGTGTCACAAAACCCCTAGACCCTATCACCTATAAACACTGCGAGAGGGAAAAAACCAGGGAAAACACAAACCCAAAACCCTCTAAACAGGAGGAAAAATAAGCCCTAAACCCTATAAACAAACAGCCGCACCCTAAACGCTTAAAGCCCTTCCAAAGCCCGGCGAGCTCAGGCCGTCAAGCTGCGGGCCGAGGGCCGACTGCTTGTTTTTTGCGCCTCTCAGTCGGCTCCAGTGGGTTTTCCGGCCCTTAGGGTTCGGGTTTAGGGGCTTAGGGTTTAGGGTTTTTGGAGGTCTTTTGATTTTTTGGGTTTTTGGAGGTTCCCTTCTTCTCAGGATCCCCAAGTGATGTATTTGTCGCGGTTCTGTTTGGATGTTCAGTCTTTCGTTGAGGGGCCCTAAATAAGGCATGAGGATGCGTTATTCGGGGGGCATGAGGATCCCAAACAGGACATTCTTTAGGTAAGGATCCCCAAGCAAGGTATACCTATTCCTAATACGGAAGCTCCAAGATTGATCAAAGTGGCCCCTGTCAAGCTCAGGACTTTCTTTCCATGCCCCAGCCGCCAACACAAGCCGACCAGGAGAGTGGAAGCGGTCTGCCAAGTCGCATCGCACAGAGCCTTTACCCTGTAGACCCCAAGCCGTATAGCATCGGGGACCCACTCCAGCACCGATGCGACAAGTTGCGGGAACCAAGAGAGGTAGATGAGGTCGGGTCGCCGAGCAGCCTCTAGCCGAGCCAGTCATCCTTCCAGCTACGTATAATACCACACGTTACATTATGCTGTACTATACAAAACGTTACTGTACTATACTATGCTATACTAGTCATTAGGGCAGGCTTTGTTTGGCTTTAGCAAGGATCATCCGAACAGAGTAATGTCTACAGGGTTTAGGGTCAAGGGTATCTATATTCCCTATGTACCCTTTCTAAGCTGCAACATGGGAACTTCGGCGAGTGGGTGCATCGCAGGAGCCGTGGACAGAGAAGGACAGTGCTGCAGTACTCGAGGCAGTAACAACTTCTTCATGGCTCATTGGACGAGTGGTGGACTATATCAAACGATCGTTCTTGTCGCACCTGTTTGCTTCCAGCGTGGCACTCCTTTGGCCAGGTCATGCAGGCCCTTCCACAGTTGATGTTCAAGGCCGATGCTGTTATCCACGTCAACAGCTCCGTCACGAAGCTGGTCATGGGGGAGGGAGCATCCTGGCGGCACGTGTGGGGTCGCAGGTCCAGATCTCCGGCTGGCTGGGCCAGCTTTGGCAGCGCATCAACAAGATATAGACTGAAGAGCGTGACAGCTTACTTTAGAGCTCAGGAAAAGTTCAGCACGACCCTGAAGGACCTCACGCCACACAATGTGCGTCGAGCTGATGAGGGCGAGGGAATATCGCTGACTTCTGCTTTGTGCCAGGAGCTTCAGAAGAACTGTCGGCTCCGGCAAGTTGGTAACGTGGTGCAGGTCCTCGATAGTATGCTCCCCCGTTGCTCCCTCAGCAGTACTTGGTCGTGCCTTTGCAGGTCTATGAAGAGTTTGGCCTGATGAACAGCAACTTCAATGGCAACAACTCTCCATACAGCGGGAGGCTCAGACTTCCTGCAGATTCCAACCCATCAGTTCCTTTGAACAACGTTTCCAGCTTTGCCTCAAATCTTGTCGAGTGCGGGAAATAGAGAGTGAGGCATCTCGTCACCTGGAGTCGCAGAGCTTTTTCCAGAGCGTGCCAGACAACCTCGGTGCTTCGATCAGCCACTTGCTGTCGTTTTATGGGTGCACGCTGATGCCGACTACTGCCACCTGCGAAGACATACGCGGCCCTTAGTAAGAGGTCCTCAGGTGTTCCATTGTCTGCCAAGATCTGAATGAAGAAATCGAACTGAGGGTGTATACCATTTCGAACCGTCGGGTGAAGAGCATTGACGATTTGCCGGATGAGCGCTTCGGCCGTGACTGGATGTTTAGCTTTTTTGTGAAGTTAAACATGTACAGAATATAGACTATACGATATAGTATATATATATATATATGTATATAAATATATAGTCGGCGTTTTGGCACAGAGGTTAGGTTCCCTTTTGTCACCCGGACCTGTAAACTGGCTCAGGCGCAGCAACTCTCATTGTTCAGCCTGCTGGAGCCGCGTTTTTCCGGTGCACATGGTCGCTTCGAGATGCAAGTTCCTAAATGGGGGTTTCCGAAAATAGGGGACCCTAAGATAGTACCCCAAATAGTAGGCCCTTATTATAAGGACCCCAAAATAAGGTACCCCTTATTTTCGGAAACTCCCGAATAAAGGAATGTAGGGTTTGGGGTAAACCCTGAAGTGCGACCGTACTCATATAACCGCTCTCGTTGAGGTGGACAGTATATAGAGGGAGGTCAGATTTCAGCAGGACAGGATGCACAAGGTGTCGGGATCGGAGGCGGAATGCTCCATGGTTCACATGATGCTGCTTCGAGTAAGATGATAATGCTACTCTATTTACAGATCGTGCTAGTGAAGTAGTCCTCTGCCACTGGTGCAGTACTATTTTTGTACAAGTATTCATTATAATGCTCGTGCTGCCGAGGAACAGAAGGACCAGGTGGTCGAGATGCTGAAGCAACCGTTTGGATATCGAATAGAGGCCCGGGCCAGATCCTGTCCTCGCCCTAAATCACCAGGCACTCAGTGTTAAGAATCAAAATCACAACCAGAGCTACGTAGAAGATCATGATCATGCTTACCCCAATTCTTACCATTGTTACCTTCCAGCAATAATTGCAGTTGCAATGCTTATGATACTTATGATTACCTACAACTGGCCGATGCGCGCACGTTCCCAGGTGGAGCCGACCCACCAGGGGCGGACCTATTTCGATCGGCCGGCATCCTTGGATTGGGCTCGAGGGCAGGGCTCAAGGATTCGAGTGCAGTTGTGGCCCAGGTTCATCAGCATTGTGAAGGTAGCCTTGATGGAGGAGAATGCGGCTCACGAGGCCGCAGCTTCGCAATTCCAACGAGTTTGCGACGGCCTCTTTACATGTTTCTTCCAGCTGTTGTCTCTTCCAGCGAGCCTTGGGCTGTTTCTGGCGGCCCGTTCGAGTTTGACCTGCCGGTGCTACAGCCAGGTGATTTTTGCAAACAATGCAGATGTGAAGAATGACATCCTGTGGCTGCGCAGCAAAGAGCAATGCCTCACTGACACTCTCGATCTCTATGTGGGCTAACCCTAAACCCTAAACCCTAAGAGAGTTTGCAACAGGAATGCAGGCCATGCAGGCCTCTCAGGATGTCGTTCTCGCCTAGGACCAGGAGCTTGGCCAGGGCTATGTCATGGTATATAGGTATCTATAGTCTATAGTATACAACTTGACATGGGGCCATTT